TTTTTTTTTTTTGTCTTTTCTTGTCTTTTTTCTTTTCTTTTTGCCTGTTGTTACTCTAGCTGTGTTTCAAGGCTGAACTTAGATGTCACTGTTTTAATTTAGTTTTTCCCAGATTCCCCTGACTATATTAAGTTAATTTCTTTTACTCCATCCAAAGGCTGTGTTAACATCGACTTATGCCATTTTCATGGGCTGCCTCATTTTTGCCTAATTGTGCATTCGTTATCAGATGTGGGTTTTTGTTTTTAAATATCCAAGAGAGCGGTTTCTACAATCTCTAACCTTGGTTATTACATATTGCCCTGAGAGTGCAGGAACTAAAACATTTTAATCTAAAACATCAGAAATGTAATTTGATCAATGAAGTCTGCCAAGGGACTTACCGATGGTGAGCGTCACTATTCCCTGGATGTACTCGTGTCTTCGTACCAAAGAATGGCTACCATTAGTCCTGGTACAGTGAGGTACGGGGATGCTCCATTCAGGTGGCTACATGAACATGTGCCTTCTTCAACCTTTTTTCTTCAGATCAGCCTTTTGTTACACTAAAGAAACCATGGCACTTAGCACTTACTATATCATATCCTCCGGCTATACTGGAAACTGAGGGAAGATATTGTATCCTATCCAGTTTTACAGCCTGTATAGTATCAGCAAATATAAAGTAGGAACCGAATGAAGGCTCCATGACTTACCCTTTATTCTTCACAATTGCTCTTACACCCAGTCCCTATTTTTCTTCCAACATTTATAACTTACTGAAGTTTCCCAGGGGAGAAAACACGATTTTTGCCCTGACTAAACCACTTATTATTCTAATGTGCAAATAGTTTTATTCCTTTTAGCATCCTTCTAGGCAACATCCATGAAGCCAAAAACGTTCATTGCTCTGTCCCTTACCTAGAGCATTGCCTAATGCACAGTAGATCCAGGCATAGTTGAATAAATGCCAAATTAGTTGGGGTTTTTTCCCACACATGGTCATCAATGAAGGAAATAAACATATTTGCCCCTGATAATAAAGTGATTCACTTCATTGCCCATAAATTGAGCTCTTTCAGGCCACCATGAATGTTGATTGGTCCAAGGATCCTGCAAGCATGGGGAAGCAAAGAGGTGGCATAGTTCTCACCAAAAAAGAAAAAACGTTTATGAGGTGTAAGTGATAAAAATGCTGGGGGATGAGGACTGTGTTATATTTTAACTATAAAAGGGAAATGTGATCATAGAACATAATATAACTTAAAAGGGAACAAGAAGTTAATATAACTTTAGTTGAGAGCAAAAATACTTGTGATTGCTTGGCTAAAAGGGCATATGATTATTGCCAGCATTTTTAATTTGATTGAGTTTTTACTACCAGGAACTGTGCAGTTATTTACATACAGGATCTCCATAATTCTCATGTATACCCTGTGAGGAAGACCTTTTTATCATCATTTTTCAGATAAGGAAACTGGGATTTAAAGAGGTTAAGTAATTTCCCCAGGTCATAGTAATTGGCCAAACCACAGTTGAACCCTAAGTTTATCTCTAAAGATACTTTTGATGAGAGATTCAATTTTTTATAATGTATAGGTAATTCTGAATAATCCTGTTTCCTAAATTTTCAAACAAAAGTAATTCCTGGGTAATAGTTGGCAATATCTTTTTTTTTTTCTTTAGTGTAATTATTGAGGGCTTTATGTATGAGAATATAAGCGTTCGATATAATTTGATATTAAGTCCAGTATTTTATACTGTCTGCTGCCTGAAGTCATTTGGCCTGTTTGTAGGGAAGAAGGGGATGAAGGGAGACAGAGAAAAAGACATTACCCCTAGAATGGAAACACTTTCCCCTTAAGGTGTAGAGATCAGCTAATCATGAGTTTTGAAACTGTCCATCACTGCTTTGGGGAGGCCTAACTAAATTTTCTGTTAAAAGTCTTATAATCCTATTCTAATGGGGACTTTTCCTGGTAGAGCATGAATAGATCTGATAGAGTCGAAAAGAAAATGGGACTTACACGTGGAGACATCAAGGGGCAGGAATGGAAAGTTTAGGCATATAGGGACAAAAGGAGAGGGGGAGGAAAATGCCAGAAACTGAGCCTGGAAAGTAGTCTGAAGAATAGACTTGGAAGGTTTCGAGCAAGTGAACCAAGAAAGGGATCCCTGCAATAAATAGAATTTCAACAGGTTTCAGTTGAGTCACATAAGTCTGCTTGGATTACCACGAGTGTGGGAATTTCATTACAATTTTAATAAGAAATCTTTAATAACCTACTGCCCAGCAAGATTACCACCAGAACAAGTCATGAATCTTTACAGCTAAAGTCCACTTCTGCTCACCTCTCCTCCACACAAATACCAATCTCAGTCATGCTCTTGGAACAACCAAAAGGCCAAGGACATTGCTGAGTGCCTACAACAAATGATAAGGAACTATGGAATTCTTAGTAGTTTTAGCTGCAGTACATCTGAGGCCAGGCAATCCTACCAGTTCCTATCCTAATTAGGGATCTGCCGCATACATTAGGAAATTTTGCCCATCTTTATGGCTTTCAAATACTGTGGATTTATTCACAGGAAGGTAGTGGAGGGCATCCATGAACAAAGAAGAATGAAAGTTGTTCATATACTGGGTGAAATAGATTCAGTATACCTTTTCATAGGAACCAAAGTGAGGAAAAATAAGTTATCACAACCAAAAGGTAAAAGTTGCTAATGAAATAGTGTGCTTCAAATGTCTGCTCTGAAATCATAGAGAGTGGGGCCAACAAATAAATAAAAAGAGGTTTAATTTGAAAAAGATTTTTTTAAAGAAACTATCTTAGTTTGCCAATTAATAAAAAGAAAACTTTGAAAGCATTTCACACTGAAGTCAAAGAGGACTATAATTAATAGGACATAAAATTCAGAGGTCAAGTTAGATCTGTATAAAAAGAAAAAGAAGTTATTTTTTAAACTAACTCATTTAAACATGGTGCCAAGGAATAGAGGTACCAGTACCTTTGTGTTATAAAGCTGCATGGATGTTGGTGTTTCCCAAAAGTGCTAAAATTGAAAATAGCCCAAGGGTGCCTAGGTGGCTCAGTTGGTTAAGCATCTGACTTTGGCT